GACAACGAAGGGTATAATTTGGTTTTCATGTATTATTTAATTTTAAAAATTTTGGTGCAGGTTTAAAATTTAAGAAAATTTTTTAGTTGGTAGTGATTTTAAAGGTATTTTAATTTGTGAAAGTTTTTTTATACTGTGGCAGTATTGAGAAGAGCATTACTGTACAAAGAAAAAGTGTTAAATTCAGACGATATGTATTTAAAAGAGTATATAAAAGTTAAGGAAAGTGTATCGTATATTCGAACCCAAGAAAAGAAAACCACAAGTGAAAAATGGAAAAAGAATAAAAAAAATTAATGAAAAAGGATGGACGATTAAAACACTACAGCTGGAAACTGGAAAAATGCATATTGTGTAAATTGGAACCAGATATGTTCGAACACATTTTTGGGAAATGTAGAATAACAGGAAATGGTGCAAAAAAGCGGGAAATTGAAATGGAAGAAAAGGATGGTCTAAATAGGATCAGGAAATATTACGAATAAGAAGGAAAATAGTAGAAAAACGAGAAAGTAGAAAAGATAAAATAAGTAAATGTAAATGTAAATGTACCTTGTATATATAAAACATAATGTTTTTAATAAAGCTATCTATTTATATATATTTCTAATTGTGAGTGTTATTTATAACGATTGTGCTTTTTTACTCATACAGTTTTACTATATGCTAAAAGTGAATAATAACAACATAGGTATCTTCAACAATCTTTACAACTTTGGTTATAACCTTTATAATTTATCCAGATGAAACCTTATCGTTGTAGAGCAAAACGTTTGCGTCATTAGACATCAAGGAAAAAAGTGTTTGCTTAATTTTCCTCAATTAAAATTTATATGTCTAGTTCTACCTATTTATAAAATTATTTATGCCTCAACTTACCTTCATTCCTGATGGATCCTAATGTAGGACGTCTGTGAAATTCGGGGCATGCAATTGAATACTTGGATACCTTATGGAATTACTGGGAAAGCAATGTTTTGTTCCATGACCTAGCTTTTGTAAAGTTGTCTAATATTACCCTCTTTGTACTGATGAAGATGGAAGTCTTTAAAAAACATTTAGGTCAATTTTATATGTTTACTTATCACAAGTCCGGTATTTGAGGTGTAACATAATTCTCTGGCATTACTACAAAAATATATTAAGATTTCATAAAATACAACTGAAAAATAATTGTTCTAGAATTAGTTAACAGCTAAATACAAAACTATGCAGGAATTATTAATGGTAAAATTCGTTCAATTATATTGCTACCTAAAGTATACTCCTCTGAAATTTGAAAAATGAGTCGCCATCGAAAGTTTTTAAACAAAATTTGGAAAGTAAAATAGTTACGCTAATTAACAGGTAAATCTTACATCAAGTGGTTTTATTTATTATATCATAATTAATTAATTATTTTTCTAGATCATTAAAATAACGTAATAACTTACCATCAGAGTTTAGAATTATTTTTAATTGTTTAAACAAATTGCAAAATATATAACACAAATTATTTTAGCTTAACACAACTCGTAGCAAAGCTTTTACTATACTGAAACAGATGTGAGTAATTCGATGCGATAGCAATGTCTTTAGAAGGTTACAGAACAAAGATATTATGTATTCATAAACTTGTTACACGTAAAAAAAACCTATAAAAAATTTTAACACTGCTATCAAATTAAATAATGAAATAAACGGGGTTTTCGAACGTTTAACTTTTATACTGTATACAGGGTGTCTAACAATTTTCCAATGAATAAATAATAGAAGCTACGTTTGCTTTTCGAAAAGCTATGTTAAATGAAGAAAATGCAAAAGGATTTCTATGCTTTCAAGAAGTTATAAATAATTATTGTTTTTCACAACGAAGTTTCGACAAAAGCAGAAAACACCAGGGTCGATAATAGCAAGAAAATGGCCCACAGAGAGTTTAGTTCTAGAATGAGTTAAACCCCATAACAGCTAAATACAAAAATGTACAGAAATTGTTAATGGCTACGGAATTTGAAAAAAGACTCGCCATCAACAGTTTTTAAACAAAATTTGGAAAGTAAAATAGTTGGGCTAATTAACAAGTAAATCTTACATCAAGTGGTTTTATTTATTGTTATAAGTAATTAATTATCGATCTATTCTATCTAGCGTTCGATCGTTCAAGCAAGCCATTGTTAAAGAGAGCAAGTATTCGGATAATGAGAGACAGACAATGACGCTCGAAATACGGTGGATTAATCTTAACGACTAAAGAAGCCTTTTTCTTAATTAAAAAATATTAAAAGTAAACCAAATCCACCCCGATAACCGAACAGCGTAGAAGCAATGAAGATGCTATCAACTTTTATTCGTTAGTTACCGAAATCAGCCCCTACGTACTATTAAATACAGAAATTAACACATTCTCATTGTAGTACAAGGT